GAAAATGGAATGTGGCTTATCTTTGCCATATCTTTGCCATTTCATCTTCAACCAGTTGACCTTACGCCCTTCAGTATTGGTCTTATTTGAAATGGAATCAGGATCTTACAGCGTGGTTATTGAATTTATCCAATTCCTGGGTCCAAAAATATACTATTTCTTCTTTGCTTTGGAGTCAACCAAACAAAAACAAAAATCGGCATCATTTGGCAGGTAACTATGACCTGATACTAAAAATTTGACCATGATTGGCAGCTTGCTCTTTAAGATGCTTCACAAGGCAAGCTGCAACTCCTTAGGAACTTCGAGAGCCCTCAGTCTCATCCCAATGAACATATATTTTTTATTATCATTGAAACTATTCGCGGTCGCTAAGGTTAGATGACGTTCTGATGACATTAAAAACTACTGGAAAACAAGTCAAGTCTAACTTTCAATTCATGCCAGGGATTTAAGGATGTTTTCCCGTAGTTTTTAATGTCATTGCAACGTCATTTAATGACCTTGGCGACCGCGATCATAAATACCTACATGTTCAATTTATGAGCAGCTGAGGTGCTCAGTTCTGGAAATGCCTCGGGAAATGCGAAAGCTTTCTCCAAATCAAAAGTAATCACATAGATTTCGTCTCCAGCAGAACTTCTTTGGACCTTTAGATGGAGGTTTGAAATGCAAGTTGAAATATCTGTAGAAAACGTGGTGGCGTGGTGGCACATTTTTTTCTATTGGTTCTGTATTTTGTTATTCACACGAATCGGCATAGATTGCGTTTATTTTATTCATGATAGATTCAATGAGTACTTATCCAGAATAAGTAAATAAACAAGTCAAACGTGCCATCAGTATGCCGAATCCTGTGGCCAAACATGACATACTGATTGGTACCGGAACAAACTTAAACATTTATTCCGACGCCAGTATAAGTGCTGGCATTAATGGTTAGATTATGAGAATTATTACTTGATTGTATTATCAGCAGAAATATTGATCAATAAAGAGCAGGCAACAATACGTGAGTCAACCCTCCATATAATAAAAAATGTTAATGATTGGTCTCAATGAAAAATGTACATTACTATCAATATCAAAAACATGTCTATTAATTATTCTTATTTTTTTGGGTTTAGCAAAATAGTATACAAATATTCACGAATATCTTCCCACCTTCAATCCATACGTTCAAAGACGTTTTCTCGATGGCTTTTGCTAATATCTCGAGACGAAGTTTTGTGAGATCTTACCTTATGATGACTCCTTTACCTTTCAACAACTTCTTTTTATGGTATATTTCCTGTTTCTTGTAGAAATTCTTGAGCTTCAAGAATATTCCTCTGGGTTCTCTTGTATTATCATTCTTACCAATATTTCTTATAAGTTGAAAATTCGTAAGTTATTTTTTTTCATTTCATGTTCCAGATTGTGAAATTTATTAGGAAGGATTTTATTTTCACATGTAATTTTCTACAGTGAGCCTCCTAGTATTTTTATTTGTGCATCATTATCTTGTTTTGTTTGATCCATTTGGTTCATGAGTGCACTCACATTTTGTTCCAGCTGTTGGAGGTTTTTATTAACAGATTCGGTAACTGCCTTGGATACGGTATCTGCCCCTGTAATTAACATAATTAACTACCACTTTACAGAATTTTCGTAGCTGTATCCCTTGAAGAATTTTAATATTTACTAGTGCCACAAAATATTGCTACTCAACGCACACCATAGCCTGTGTTAGTGAAATATTGGTGAGTTGAAGAAAAATGTCGAGAATTAACAGGAAAAGAATCCTGTCAACTTCAGAATCAGAAAGTGAAGAAGATATTGCGAGTATGGAATGGCAGCCCGCAAAAAAGGAGAGTAATAGTAGAAGCTTGATTTTGATGTACTATTATCCAAATTTACGGGATATTGAACGGGAAGTTCGCAGACAAGTAAATTCCGATGAAATTAGCGATTCTGATGAATGCAAGTTTTCACTTTGAGGCTGTGTCATTCATATTCCCTAACTGCTGGTTGGTCAGACTTCATAATGAACGTATGTGCCCGGTCAAACCACAGACTTGACACAGCCTATATCAAATACAAAAGTTCAAGACTAGTGCTATGGAGAAAACACTATTTATCGATGGTTTGAAGGTGTATAATGGCTTACCAATAATAGTAAAAACATCACCAAATGTCAAATTATTCAGAACTAGATTAAGGCAAATGTACTTCAATAATCAATAACATTGTATGTTCTTAAAATAGTATTTATTGTAAATTATATGTTATGTAATAGCTAATGAGCTAAATAAACATCTATTCTATTCTATTCTAATAAGTATTTGACTTATGTCTCGAGGTGGATTTATGCAGCAACATTGAGCAATTATCAAATAAAATTTATCAATTAACAATTGATGAATAAATAGTACGCAAGCGCACATGCCCTAAATTTGGGTTATCAATGCCATAACCTTTGAAATTTGTTGTTTACAATTTACATAAGGAGCTAAAACTTCGAATTTCAAAATGTTTCCTGATCTGGAAGAGACGCGTTCTTAGGGCACGGGGCCTTTCATTTTTAATGAAAACGCGTTTTTTCTGATAAAACTTCTTTATTAACAATAACGATATTATGATGACACACATCGGCATCCATTTTAAAAACATAATGTTCACCTTCCATTAAGGCTGAGAAACGCGACAAAACTCGCCTATACCTGTGGTCCGGGGGGGTTAGGAAGAGATAGCAGTGGGCGGTTACAAAATAGTCATGAATCAACAAGCATCCTTTTTAGAAAAGGACAACTCACCCGGTTCGTCAATTAGTCAGGGTGATTACCGCGTCTGAATATTTATTTATATTGCCGATAATCTGCCTAGCGGATTCCTAGAAAAAAGTATTCTACCTATATATTCATCGGGTAATCCGGTCATAGAATCTTACTTGATAACACCTCGATTGTATTATATCCTTGGTTATATCCATTACGTTTACATATTATGTTATGAAGGCTTACGACACTCTTCATTGGTCGAGAGGTGTGGAAAAATTAGGATTTTTTTGTATCCTCTAATTGGGTTGATATATTATGTTCTTTGGAATATGAAAGGAAAATTAGATCATCTAAATATTATGGAAAAATATGAAATAAACTATTGCATGGACGATCCAAAGTTATGACAATTATCTCCTGATCAATTGAGTTTTCATTGATCAGGTAATTACTCAGTTAAAACCACCATAAAATCACTAGATCTGCAAAAATTTCGCCTGCAGCGCATTTTTCTTCGATTCCGTCACGGATCCGTAGAATCGTTATGTGGCATTCATAAGAAAAATTCGATACACATTAACCTATACATTACCAAAGTAGGTATTGCTTACAATGTTATCTTTCGAAAAATCACTATCCCGAATAAATATGCAAGTTTGTGACAAATATTTTCATTATTGTCACTACCTATATGATGTAGGTTGTAGGACATCATTGAGTTTTCAGAAATTCATATGATAACAAATTCTATCAAATCACCCGTACTAGGATATCAACGACTGCCATGTTTTCCTAGGCTCATCTTACTAGAATTTCTCCAGAGGGCGCAAATATCATTGACCAAATATTATTTGGAAATTGGTTATTTCATGTACACGTATTTTTTTTTATTCGCCAAATTGACTAATTTTGAGCACTTTTCGAGAACGTTTTTTCCACTCTTCCTTTGAAAATTTCGAAAAATGAGATAGTATCCGACCTAGCTTGATCCTTTGGCTAGAGCATGAATCGAAAAAATTTTGAAAATATTGAATGGTTTCGAAATGGGAAGTCTAGAGTGAGAGCGCTGAACTTGTTATTTTGTGCGGCTCACTGCTCTCTCTTAACTTCTAAAATACGGCTGAAGATGGGCTTTTATAAGTCCGAAACATGTCCCTTTGATTGACTACATCATTATTAAAGTTGTGAAGATGACTTTGAGCTTTCCTTCCTCCCTTTAATAATCACTGTGTTGTGGTATTTGAGAAAGAGAAATATAGTTTGTTCAGCCGATTTTGATGATTTCATAATAATGGCAAGAGATAGAGAAGAATGTGCAATCAATGTAAAGATTGTGTACGATTTGCTATATGATTTGGGTTTCATTCTGATTCAGGAAAAAAGTGAGTGAATTCCAACGAAAGAAATAATACATTTGGATTTTACTATAAATAGCAAAGAAATATTACTAAAGAAGATAGCAAAGTCACACACGAATTTCAAAATGATTTTTTTTTTTCATAATGTTAGGCTCATTTTAGGCTAATTTATTACCCGATTCACGATTTTTTTGCTCCTATCTGTCATAGAAAAATCTCTGTCTGATAGCTTCGACGTGGCAAATAGCCAGGAAAGTAGTTGTTTTCTGTAAAATATTCAGAATTATATTATATGCATTTCTTTATATGAAGGAGAATGCAAATTCTCTACTTCAGAAGATTTTGTTTTCAAATTCTCTACTTCAGAAGATTTTGTTTTCAAATTCTTATCGTGTGTGTTCAATAGATGTAATTCAATATTCGTCGTGACATATAGGCAGGAAAGTAGTTGTTTTCTATTGAATAAACCGAGAAAGAATTAATATTTTCATCACATGGAGAATGTGAATTCTCAATGTATTTCTTTATATATATATATATCTATCCATTTTTTGTGTTCATAGATATATCTGAGAATGTCCCTTTTCAATACTTTCACCCAATCAAGGGGTTCAAACTTGAACGACGGAAACTTGTTATTTTTATAGACCTCAATCGCAGATTCGTGATTAGGTTTTTCTCAATTCAGAATTTCTTTCCACGTCCTCTATGATGAATGTCAATTTATCATACATCCAAAAATACTTTCATTGTATTCTACGTACTCATCGTAATTTTGATGAAACAACAAAAATGTTGATCCAACTGGTTTGATGAAGTCAACCCTGAATATTTGTTCTCATCTTCATGAGTTCTTCAGTAGTTAAGATTGAATTATTTTCAGCGGATCTGGATCCTCTTCATCGGACGGATCGGACAGTGGCGGTGAGAATGATAATGAAAACGGCGAGAGAGTCGGGAATGGCTCGGTGCATGAAGAGGAGGCATCCAAAAATGAAGATGATAGCAGCCGTCACTCATCCCCAGCCAAACTCGATACTTCGAGAGAGGTAAGAATACCGCAATTCAAATTTTCATATGATGGAGATTTGGGATGCACCGGATCGGATATTTTGCCAATCCGGCTGGAACCGGAATTCCGGCCGGAACGGGACCTAAATTTAAAATGTATGTGCATGCATATTTTTATACGTAAAACATTGAAAATATTGAGGCTGATTTATTACAATTTTTTTTTAAACCAGCTACAGTATGCAGAGTGTTCATTACCATTAATTTTACCTAGATAGAAATTACAGTTTTTTTTTTTAAATTCTTTGTGATTAATTAACGACTTTACAATAGGTAAGTAGGCACCAATTAAAAATACCATGAAATAATTTTCTGTATTTTTGCATATATTTGAATTTAAATTATATTGAAAATTGAAAACTCAAACATTTCCAAAAAGTTCCGAAAATTTCGGCCAGAAAGCGATCAATGGTAGGAGCGATACGGCCGGATCGGCCGGATTTAGAGGTACTACCGCCGGAATTCCGGTGCATCCCTAATGGAAATAGTGATGATGATTTGTGCAACGGGCATATTGTTTCAGACTCGTTTTGTACTTCATCATTTCAAAGTACCAGCCACTAAAGTTGCGGATTTAGGTTCATATATTCAATATTATTCAATTTCTAATTGATTTCAAAGTTTCTCTATAAATTCGCATTATTTTTCAAGTTTTCATCAGTTCATCTCAAATTTTGTGGAAAAAATAGGTTACAACCCCATTTTTATTTTCATGAATTAATTTTAAAAAATCCATTTGCACTTCATCATTTAAAAGTACCTGGTACAAAAGTTGCGGATTCAGTTGGAAGTCTGTAGACAGTAGGTATATTCCAATATTTGTTTTTTCGAAATATTTTATCTCAAAATTTCTTTACAAATTCGCATTATTCGTTTCAAGTTGTGACCAGTTTATCTTGAAATTTGTGGATATAGTTGGCTAAAACCCTCATTTTCAATTTCAATTATTTAATAATAATTATAACTTTAAATTTAGCTACTTTAGTAATCCCTTGTAATCTGACGACTGAAAATATTTTCAGCGATACAGCGTTGCTGTCCTTGCCAAAATGTACCATCGTCTTTAATATTTTAAGTGTGATGCATTTTTGTACCGTTTTTGAGTTGAAAATTATTTTCCATATTTTTTTTTTCAAAACCTGATTCTAATTACACTTTTATTACTGGTTATCTGATTTCCTAGAAACTTTAAATTCTGGGTGTAGCATATCAAGTTCCTGTGTATTAGTTTTTATGGAGAAGTTAGTTCTAGATAATACACGGTCGCTTAACTTTCATGATTTGACCACTAAGTGCAAAAATGAAAATTAATATATTTTTTTTTAATTTTAGTCTGTAGACAGTAGGTATATTCCAATATTTGTTTTTTCGAAATATTTTATCTCAAAATTTCTTTATAAATTCGCATTATTCGTTTCAAGTTGTGACCAGTTTATCTTGACATTTGTGGATATAGTTGGCTAAAACCCTCATTTTCAATTTCAATTATTTAATAATAATTTTAACTTTAAATTTAGCTACTTTAGTAATACCTTGTAATCTGATGACTGAAAATATTTTCAGCGATACAGCGTTGCTGTCCTTGCCAAAATGTACCATCGTCTTTAATATTTTAAGTGTGATGCATTTTTGTACCGTTTTTGAGTTGAAAATTATTTTCCATATTTTTTTTTTCAAAACCTGATTCTAATTACACTTTTATTACTGGTTATCTGATTTCCTAAAAACTTTAAATTCTGGGTGTAGCATATCAAGTTCCTGTGTATTAGTTTTTATGGAGAAGTTAGTTCTAGATAATACACGGTCGCTTAACTTTCATGATTTGACCACTAAGTGCAAAAATGAAAATTAATATATTTTTAATTGATTACCCTGTACATTATCGAATAATCCGAAAGACGATCAAAACCCTTTTCAAATTATTTATCCATCTCATACTCTGATGGTTAGATTCCGGATATGAAACGGCGCTCATCATTTGGCATATTTATTGTAGATAGGGATGAAATGTTATGATTAAACATTACAATATGAAAATTCGCCAACATTTTTGAGTTTTTTCTATTTATCTACGATGAATGTTCCAAATTCTGATTTTTGCTTGGTGTGTCATATCCGGAACCTTACTATTTAGGGAATTCGATTGTCTTTCGAATTAATCAATATTATGCAGGGTGTTTTATTTGAAATATTGATTTTTCACCACTTTTGTTTCTAGCAGCTCAATGGTGAATACTAAGAGACCCTGTATAAGAGAGAGAGCAAACATCTCCATACAAATCTTATACACAGGACCTTGGTATGCTACGCCCAAAATATCAAGTTCATAGGAATTCAGGCACCTCAATAATGAATATTTAATTGAAGCCATGTTTTGAACAGAAAATATAGAAATTGATCATTAACTGGAAAACCGTTCAAGATGGGTATGGGAATATACAAGAAAAAATATTCAAACATAATCACGAATCCGACATTGCAATAATTTACAGGATGTCTCATAGGAGATATTAAAGATGATCCTACTTTTTATTATGTGAGTGGCAACGCTGCATTGCTGCAAATAATTCAGATTGTACTGTTCCAATTAACGTATACGTCATACCATTGACCGTGAGCCACTCTGATTCACCTAAGATTGCCTAAGATTCGTCTTTTATTTGAGCCAGTGACGCTCACAATATTGCGGTATGATGATGACTTATGGTACATGAAACTTCCACTTTCAGGAATGGCATAAATTAGAAGATATTTGTTATTTTCTTGAATTCGCATCAGTTCAACTCAATTTAGTGGGTACAACACACCAAATAACTCTTCACAAGCTTCACATATTAATCGAAAATCCTTAAAAGAATAGTTATATTCTACTATTCCTAGAAATTAATGGTCTTGTCGAGAGACGTTTTTTTTTGCTCATTATTTGTAAAAATGTGGAACCTCAATGTCATGAATCGACATGAAATGTGACTAAGAAGCTGCTATGATTTATTACTATTCAATTGAAGTCTACTAGAAATTCCTACTTTGTGGCTCGAGTACCTTTGCTTTGTCTTGCAAAAGCAACAATTGTTCGTCTAACCAAGAGCAACTTTTAATGACGGCAAGAAACTTCATCAAATTGTCGTTTTGTTTCTCTCAGTCTGACAAGAGTACGGACCAATATGGCACCCGGCAATCTGCTAGATCGCGAAAGGCTCCCGAAAGACTACAAAGCAGAGATAGTGATAAAACCAGTGATAAAACTAGCGGCAGCAAAAGCGACGATTGGAAATACAATGATGCTAGTAGTTCAGAATCGGAACAAGAACGCGAGAGACCCCCTCCCAGCAAACGGGTCGGGGCCCGCGCTCGCGCCCCTGTTGTGAAGAAGAAACCTGTCAAAAAACGCAGCAACTACAGCTCAGAAGATGAATCTAGCGAGGAATATAGCAATGATGATAAGAAGAGAGCAGTTTCCAGACGTAAAGCGGCCAACGTCAGCTATAAGGAGGATAGTGAGGACAAAACGGATTCTGAAGATTTATTGGAAGTTGAAAACACTGAACCGGTAGTAATTGTACCTGAAGAAAAATGTGAGACTATAGAGAGAGTGTTAGCTCAGCGAAGAGGAAAAAAAGGAGGTAAACACTAATTTGAGTGAAATAGTGAAGTTTAGAAAGGTTGCAACATATGAGAGAGATTTTTCAAAAGAACTGCACTTGATACGTGAATTGAATCGTAAAATGATACAAATAAGTAAATCTATTATTATTTTTGAGAATAAAGACACTTCACTCTCCAGAAAATTCATTTCTTGACCCACAAACGGTTTTTCAATGAAACTAGGTTCCTATTCTTGTATTAGATTTGAATCCCATTTTCCCTATATGATGCAACATTTTCTAACTAGTTGGAATATTATGTTTTTATTATCTACCAGTTTTTAATTGAAGCTAGATATTCCGTAAGAAAGTTTAAAAAAATACTAGGATAAGATTGCGCTAAATAAAATAAAAATACTGACTTAAGTTATGCAAAATAATAAGGCAGCTGGTGGTAGTTCAAACTATTATTCTTGATTAACTTTATCACACTTTAGTTGGTGGAAATATATTTTGTTGCAAGGGACAGTATTTAGTGATAATATAATACATATCCATAACATGGTTAGGTCAAATAAAACATAATTATCTTACTTTAGTTACACAATAATAAAAATTGAGTCCATAGTAGCTTATTTTCTCAGTTTTTCACAAATTCATTTTACTAAAGTATAATTTCTCACAAGAAGTTCGAAGTACTATTTAGTATCCATAAAATTTGAAATTTGCTCATGTAATATTATAAAGTTAAATAAAATGTAACTGAACAACTTGAGTTGAATGAAATAATCAGAAATGAGTCGATCGTATCTCAATCTCTCATTTTGTCTCAGTTCATTTAACTAATGTTGGTAGAAATATATTTTCTTACAAGGATCTTATCAACTCATGTAATGCATTTGGCGTAATCTGAAGTTGAATGTAAATGTCATTTCACCTATAAACGTCAAAAAAATTCCAGTCTAATTTCGTGCTTCCCCCAAGAAGGAGGAAAAAATTCCCAGAAATGTGTTTAGTTGCTATGGTAACGATGCATAATACAGGCTTCTACTTAATCAAACATGTAATTAAAAGGTAAAAAACTAATCCAGAATTATCGATCATCTCAAAAAAAATAGTTGTGAAGTCACTGGAGCAGGCACTAAAAAACAGGATGGGTGAGTGAGACCACCTAACTAATGGTTTACCAATTTTTATCGTTTTATTTTGCGCATAAGATATGACTCGTAATGTACCGAACTCTTATTGAATTCAGGTTCTAAACTATTTCAAATTCTTAACTTGGACTGACAAAAACGCCCCAAGCCATATCGCCGCTATTAACTATCCGATTTTGATTAACAAAATAGCAAATTAATTGATTCATCAAATACTCCAAGGTGGCCTTTTCCTTTTCCAATTTCTATTCTAACGACAGCGATTGTCAACTTTTTTAAATGGCATTGTATTTTTTTTTCTGATAAAGATTTCTTTTCTGATTACAATGATTTATAACAAGTTGACTCTGGCGCAAAATTAGTTGAAAAAAATTTATGCTTCGTGAATAAGAAATTAATCTTTTCATGAACTGTTCTATTGAGTCATTGAAGGTTGAGTATGTTTCGTATAAAAAAAGACATAGTGATATTAAGAACATGAATTTATTGAGAACGAATTACTATCTGAGAAAACTAGGAAACTACAAACTGGAAAAAAGATACCAAATGATCCATTTCTTGGCGACGGAACATACCTTTTTTTCAACTAATTCTGCGCGAAAGTCAATTCATTATACATCATTGTATTCAGAAAAAAAAATTTAAATATAAAATGCCATTTGGAAAAAAAAATTTACCATCGCTGTTATCAGAGTTGGAACCATTTCATTTGCATTTTTGTTTTTCAATATCGGATAGTTGATAGCGGCGCTATGGCTTCGGGCGTTTTTTGTCAGTCAGCCTGAGCATGGTGGCTCAATATAAAAAATTGTGTTAGAGCCAAATCATTTTTGTTTCAAGCATTACATGGTTAACCGATTGACCTTCTGATGGACACCTATGGAACAGGTGTTTAAATATGCTTCATATCGCTATCTCACTGCAAAAAAAAATTAGTGTGAGATTTTTTAATTAACCACCAATGATATATTTCATTAGGGTTTCTTCGAAAACTCATGGACACATTTTATTTCAGTCACCGGTAATATCACAACAACATATTATGTTGAAGAAAACGGTGATCCTAATGAAGGCGTTGATGCAACCGATTTGGAAAACACCGAAGACCAGTACTTTATCAAGTGGAAGGACTGGGCACATATCCACAACACTTGGGAATCCGATGCTAGTCTGAGAGATCAAAAGGTAAAAGGTCTAAAAAAACTCGAGAATTATATCAAGAAAGAAGTTGAGATCCAACAATGGCTGAAATACTCTACACCAGAAGATGTAGAATATTATGAGTGTCAGTTAGAGTTGCAACAAGACCTTCTTACAAGCCACAACGAAGTTGAAAGAATCATAGGTTGGTTCAAAGAATACTATTTGTTTATGTTTTTCAAAATATATTTGTCTTTTAGCAAAGTACAATAAACCAGATGGCGGAACTGATTATTTTGTAAAATGGGAAAGTTTACCTTACTCGGAATCTACTTGGGAAGATTCAGCCCTTATTCAGAAAAAGTGGCCGGTAAAAATTGAAGAATTTGAAGGTCGCGAAAAATCAACCAGGACCCCTACCAAACATTGCAAAGTACTTAAATATAGGCCGAAGTTTCATGAAGTGAAAACCCAACCAGAGTATATGACTGGAAAAGATAATGTAAAGGGCGTTAGCATCAAGAAGTTTCTTTCTAATACCGAAGTTTTTTCAGACTCTAGTATTGCGGGATTATCAAATACATGGTCTCAACTGGATGATCCATTCCTGGACGAAAGAAAATTCTGTGATTCTTGCTGATGAGATGGGTCTTGGTAAAACTATACAGGTAAATATTTTTGTTCTCATGGGCACCCAAAAAATTCTTCTTAAGTATGTTCCATAATCTTTGGTGAAAAATATTTGTACCAAAATTGATTGAATAGCGTTTTTTTCAACTTCTCATTTCGAATTTGTTGGATTTTTATTTTGATGATATATCTATCAATGTTTGGGAGATTGAAACTAAACAATGTATTTTTATATATTTCCAGTCTGGTGGCGAATGTTTTTTTTGGGTGCCTGTTTACCAGTATGCCATTATTTCATTAGTATCAACTTTTTTAGACAATATGCTTTCTCTATTACCTTTTCAACACACATAACTTGCATGGGCCTTTCTTGTGTGTTGTTCCTTTGTCAACCATGACATCTTGGCAGAGAGAGTTTATACAGTGGGCTCCTGAATTGAATTTTGTAACCTACTTGGGGGATGTCCAGTCCAGAGAAGCAGTATGTCAATTCACCCAATTCTAGAATACTTTGTTTCTACTACTAATTTTTTTAGATTCGTCAATATGAGTGGTGTTATGAAGGTTCCAAAAGACTTAAATTCAATGCAATTCTCACTACCTATGAAATTGTTCTCAAGGATAAAGCATTCCTTGGCAGTTTAAGTTGGGCTGTTATTTTGGTAGATGAGGCTCATCGGTAGGGTATTTGACTTATATTTTTTATAAATACTTACCTTTCACACTTTTAGATTGAAAAATGATGATTCATTGCTATACAAAGCTTTGATGGAATTTGATACCAATCACAGATTGCTTATCACTGGAACGCCTTTACAGAACAGTCTCAAAGAGCTGTGGGCCCTGCTACATTTCATAATGCCCAAAAAGTAAGTAGAATATTTGTTCCCAGAGAGATTCAACTAAGGCTAAATGATTTTTTGAAAGGATATCTTCATGCTATACTTGTTCTACAGATTTGATAACTGGGAAGATTTTGAAAAAGAACACGAGAATGCATCTACCAAAGGCTATGGTAAACTCCACAAACAACTAGAGCCTTTTATACTGAGAAGGGTAAAAAAAGATGTTGAAAAGTCCTTACCAGCAAAAGTAGAACAGATCCTGAGGGTAGAGATGACTGCTATCCAAAAACAGTACTACAAATGGATTTTAACAAAAAACTACAATGCCTTGCGCAGAGGTGTGAAGGGATCCTCCACCACCTTCTTGAACATTGTCATCGAGCTGAAAAAGTGTTGCAATCACGCTTTTTTGACAAAACCTACCGAATACGAACATCAAAATTCCCAACAAGACCATCTCCAAATGTTGCTGAGAGGTTCCGGAAAGCTAGTACTACTAGACAAGCTTTTGATAAGGTTGAGAGAGACAGGCCATAGAGTTCTGATTTTCTCCCAGATGGTCAGGATGTTGGACATTCTTGCCGAATACTTGCAACTCCGGCATTTCCCCTTCCAACGTTTAGACGGTGGCATAAAAGGCGAGCTGCGAAGGCAAGCATTGGACCATTTCAATGCTGAGGGCTCTCAGGATTTCTGCTTCCTACTCTCGACTCGAGCTGGCGGCCTGGGAATCAATTTGGCTACCGCAGACACCGTGATCATTTTCGATTCCGATTGGAACCCTCAGAATGACCTCCAAGCTCAGGCTAGGGCGCATCGTATCGGCCAGAAGAACCAGGTGAACATCATTTTGAATCAGAACTAAATATTATCAAACGAATTGCTGCAATTAATGATTTTCCCATCCCTCGGATAAATGATGAAATCAATCAGATATCTACAAAAAAAAAAATACAACCATTTCTTGACTAATCAACCTTCTCCAACCAAATTCTCTACTTAACTTATTTTGGCTCCGTTTGACTTGAAATTAGAGATTATCAGTGAAAAACAATATTAACAATTCCACTTAATATATTTTTCAGTCATTGCTAAAAATTCCGTTTCTGATTTAGATAAATCTGGTGTCTACTTATTAACATGTCCTGAACCTGATTGTAAGATATGTTTATTGGTCAGATAGGTCACGAATTCAGAACTAGGATTACTGAACACGGATTCAACCGATCGATATAAAGTCTAGATTTCAGATTTCATTAATTCCAATTCTGTGTTTCCCAATCATATCATTAACAAACAATATTCATTTGATCCTAATAGGCGAGTGGACTATTTTTTTTTTATGTCTTGAATAGAATCATCACCCAAATACCTTTCAATTCCGTTTTTTTTTGGACGATTTTAAGGGGCTAAAATCATCAATAATCCCATGGTGATTTTCAAACGGCTAGAAATTTACCGCGAGTAAAAACTGACGTCTCGATTTTGTAAGTAGGGGCAGACCATAGCACAGTTGCCATATGTTGAAATACGATTGGGAACTTCAGGAATATTAGTTATTCAATCATTCATAAATTATCAATTATGTATTAGTAATATTCCAATTTAGCAATAAAAATTAGTTGTCTCAAAAATGCCCCTCATGTGTTCTGGCTTATTGCTCATAACACATTTGTGTAAAAAATAATTATATTATTTGACACTAGAGGACATACCAACTGGTAAACGTGACAACACGGCGCACGAATTACAGTGGACATGCTGGTTGCTCGAAAAAGTCGAGAATGAACTCTACATCTTTTTGATAACTTGATTGTGATTGGTGACTGCAACCTTGCTTCATGAGTGAGATTGGAACATTATCTGACCAATAACGAAACAGCATAACAACGAACATCACCATTCATCCGGTGTATTGCTGAACATGGTCAAATTGTGGCTATGATGGTACATTTGAAATGAGATCTGAAATTCAATGATTTTGAACAACGCATAGACTAGAAAAAAAGTTTGAGAAGTGTTGCAAACATTGATTTAGGTCCCCAATTATCAGTCCACTCGCCCATTTAGTGCTCAAATTTTTACACTTTCATCATAAGCAAAAAACTGAACTAAAAAATCTTGAAATTCATAAAGATTTGTGAAATTCTGAAATGATTTATTAATGAACAGACTCACTTTGACTGCTTCAAGCTTGATATCATCCCCATCTTTATTTCATGCAGAGTTCTGTCGCCTCAAGCGTTCGATGTTTTATGTCATCTGTCACTTCATGTCACTCAATTCAAACTATTATTTGATATTTTACATCATTTTCCTCGTTTTTCTCGTCCAAGCGTGTAGCTTTCAGTAGAAAATGTTAAAAGTTTCTTGATTCTCAAACAAAAATTTTCAACTGTAATCTAATCATTTTCATTCTGATTTTTTGACAAAGATGATCCGCATTTAATTGCGGTCCCTTCATTGTATTTTTGTGATGTAAAATTTGTAAACTGCTTTTTTGCAACATGTGAACAAAAAAAATATTTCCCCAGGACAGTGAGGCGACTCATTATTTGAATGTTTGTCTGACATGTTTTTTTGTCTTTTCTTGTTGTAGTACGACCTATTTGATGATGATGAAGCTTTGAAGCTTCAAAACTTGTCTTCCAAGTGATAAAAAGTGATAAAATAAAGTGTAGACCTGGTGGAGTTGACTGTAATATTTTCTTCCTGCCCAGGTGAACATCTACAGGCTGGTGACTGCCAGGTCTGTGGAGGAAGAAATCGTCGAGCGGGCGAAGCAGAAGATGGTCTTGGACCATCTCGTCATTCAGAGAATGGACACTACGGGAAGGACTGTTCTGGATAAGAAGGGTTCATCGAACAACAACCCGTTCAACAAGGAAGATCTGACGGCCATCTTGAAGTTTGGCGCCGAGGAGCTGTTCAAAGATGAGGACGAAGATGAAGAACCTAGCGTAAGTGGAATATCAACACAAGTTTTCTTCTTCCTGTGAAAAATAGTTTATATAAATTACCCCTTAGGGAGTTCATAGCCATCTGAAGGCGAGCCTGAGATGAGAGTTTGTCGTAAATATTTTGTGATGAGATGACCAAATTTTGTAAATGCCTCATTTGAAAATGTTGGGTATATATGGAAATTTTGCTCAGCGGCGTGGGAAATTGGAGGGGTTTTCCCCCTTCTTCTTTGTTTACGCAATCTCCGGCAGTACCGGGAGATATATAAACATCATTCTTACTTGAAAATGGTACTCTTTTTTTTTTAGTTTCGGTAGCACACACCATTTTCGAGATGAATCGATTTTAAAACGCTGCTGAGTAATAAAAATAGGTACTTTTTCTATATTATATAATTTTATTATATTTCAATTTATTCTTATTGTATCTCTGATGTGATTCTCCTGGTGTTCCCACTATGGAACAGCGGGACTTTTCATCTCCCTTTCTACGGTAAAAAAACTATCTTCTCACTTGGTACTTTAACGTGTTCAATATGTACTTTTTCACCAACTGCGACGTATGATGATTGAAAATGATTTAACTTGCACTGTATTACATTTCCATACAATTTCATAAGAAATGGCTTCCCAAAGGTAAGTGATATAAATGTTTGTTTTATCGAATATCATCAAATAAACACTTGAATTGTAAACTCTGCTATCTATGTTGGGGTTGTGCGAAATATTATGAAGATTTTAATTTTTCACGGGAAAACAGATGATTTTAGCTGTGCTCCAATATTGGAACACTAGGCACATTAGGGTAGGTTGATATTTCATACATGTCTGTATACTTTCATTTGGGTTATAGTACGTTGAAACATCATAATAATATATTACAATAAATTGAAATGAGATCGTGTCTGCAAAAACTCAAAAAGACAGTTTTCTACTTTTAATGTAGATTCCACATTGAAATAAATATTAATTCGGATTCATCAATATTGTAGAGAATGAAAACATTTTTGAAGCAAATATTTTTATCACTCCTCCCAATGGTGGCGCTGATTCAGAAGAAGTACTGAAGATGAATACAAGCGAGCAGCGACTAAAGACCATCTTAGTAAGTGTCAATTAGAAGCAGAAGCTGTTGAAATAATGGAAATATCCATGTAGGTCTGTGCATTTTGTTAATGAAATGAATGCAGCTGTTGAAGACAATAAATGGGATGGCAAAAAGGATATACCTCTCACAATTAGGGAAGGAGAATCATCAATTTCCTAGTAATATAAAACTAAAATGGTCAAAGAAGAAGCCTGAGAAGTTGTTTCCAAATTTTGTCTCTCCCCAACAGCCAGAAACATTGTTTACCAATGCTGTATATTTCTTTGAATCTTTTTGTGTATATATTATATATTTGGAAGATATGTTTATTACTTTTGTCAGGCATGAAAGGATCACAATTTTGACACTGACAAAAGCCAGATAGAATGTTTATTGCAATCCATTCCTTACTGGGCATGACTAAAAATGTTGAAATTTTTATATTTTCTGGTCAAACTGCAGAAAAGTGCCCCTAGCCCCTCTTATTTCCCATGCCCCTGATCAAAATTTCTGAAAATTCTCAACATATTTCAATTGGGTATGAAAAGTTAGGTAAACGTACAAATTTTGGTTACTTTATCAGAATGGGTTTCAAAAACATTCTCAAAAAAACACTCATATTGGGCTCGCCTTTTGATGGTTATTCTATCTTTTACCTAGAATCGGCACTTGAAATATTCCTATATAATTTAGGGACACCTTGTATATCTCTGATACAGGGTTTTCCAAAAGTATGCATGATATGGGCGAAGCTCAAAATGGAATTGAGTGTATAGGTCAAAATGAGATGAACAGGTGAATGTTTTTATCTGATGAATTCTCAATGGTCATTTTGATTCAGAGAAAATTTATTTCACATGAAAATTGGATCAGTATGTATGAGAGTAACTTGCTGATGAAGGGGCCAAGTTAGAGAAGACGTTTATTTGAACTCCCAGTATTATTTTCACCTGTACTACTCAGCAACTAAGCAATTTAGCAACTGAAGGGTCATACCCATATTAGTATAATTTTCTGAAGATATTTTTTTTCCAAACATCTGAATTCAATTCTTCTTTCTGGTGTCATTATGTGATATCAACTTCCTTATGCAAATGTCAGTTTTACTATCCTATGTATCATTGTCGATTATCCATAATCGACATAATGATCTCCAGAAACGTATCCTGAATATTACAGATTATAAGGGACAAAATGTTATAATTAATTATACGTTCAAGATGTGACCGGTACTTGAAAAACAATGCAAAATATTGTTGTTTCAGTGTGATATTGATGAAATTCTACGTAGAGCCGAAACTAGAGATGAAGCGCCGACTATGGTCGGTGATGAACTCCTTTCAGCCTTCAAAGTGGCAAGTTTCGCTGCCTTCGAAGAAGAAACCGAACCTTCGCCCATCAACAACCCTGCTGGGGAGGAAGAAAGCAAAGACTGGGACGAGATAATTCCCGAGAAACTTAGGAAGAAGGTAGAGGAAGAGGAGAAAAGCAAAGAGATGGAGGACCTGTACCTGCCTCCCAGAAGCAGGAAGACTCTTCAGCAGATCAACCAATCGGAGAGTGACGGCGAAGAGGGTAAAGGCAGGAAGAAGGCGAAGAAAGAAGAAGAGAGTTGCGGTTCTAGCGCCGAAGGGGAAGAGTCAGATGATGACAGGCCGAAGAAACGTGGTAGACCACCTGGTGGGAGTAGGGAGAAGATGAAGAATTTCACGGATGCTGAGGTAAAAATTAATTAGATCAATATATTTTATTGTCTTATTCATGGAACGCAGAATACTTTTCATTTCTATCATTATAAATGATAACCAAATTCATTCAATTGTATATACCAATTAATCAAAATTTTGTCACACCGTTAATAAAATAGAATATAAAATCTTTGGTACAAAAGTACATCTGGTAAGTCTGAAGTTTTAGTTATATAAACAAACAAACAAAAAAACAATAGCATTATTATTAAGATGTTTCAAATTTACAGAATTACGATATTCTTATAAGATATTTTTAATGAAATAATTCCTGGTTTCATTCATAATTTTCAACAGGTTCATTGAATACACTTTACTTCTGAATTCAATGACATCTTGGTCATTTCAAACCCAACCAAAAACTCAACTTGATCAGAAGCAACATTCAAGTTTTTGGTTGTGTTTGAAATGACCAACATGCCACTTTTCAAATCAAACGTTGATATTTCGCAAGCTATTGAATTTAGGAGTGGAGTGTATTGTTCGAAACTGTGGGGAATTGAAAGATTTCGAAAATGGAAGAATGTACAGGGTGTTTCATTTGAAAAAATTATTCAAGATGGCTCTCAGTTGCCATTTTGAGACTCAAAGCTGTCCATGAAAAAGTTGGTACACATCTCCTACTTGATCCCACCAAATTTCGTACGATATACCAGATGGTTCAGGAATTAGTAGGGGTGAACGGACTTTGGACGGGCACAGTATATTTCAGTCATATTGTACTTTTCCACTTGATTTATGTGTTGAGTCTATTTGTTGTTTTCTATTTTTGCAGCTTCGGCGCTTTATCAAAAGCTACAAGAGGTTCAGTGCTCCTCTGAAGCGGATGGAAGAAGTGGCTTGCGATGCCGAACTCCAAGAAAAACCCCTGGCAGAGCTAAGAAAACTGGGCGAGATGCTTCACGAGAGGTGCAGAGCTCACATGAACGAACAGACCAAAGAGAATACTGAGGCGAGTAATCCAGAGGAACAGAAAGGGCGTAAAAGATTGAGGGGGCCTTCTTTCAAATTAGGAGGCGTTTCCGTTAATGCGAAGACGATGCTGGCTTGCGAGGAGGAACTCGAACCGCTAGATGAAGTGATTCCATCTAATCCTGAAGATAGGAAACGCTGGAATTTTGATTGCAAGACGAAGACGGCACATTTTGATGTCGACTGGGGTCAAGAAGAGGATACAAAACTCTTGAAGGGCATCTACATTCATGGCTTGGGATCTTGGGAGCAAATCAAACTTGACCCGACGCTAGGCATAGGCGACAAGATTTTACTGAATGAAGACAAGAAACCTCAAGCGAAGCACTTGCAATCACGAGCTGAATACCTCCTTAGGATTATGAAGAAAAATCTCGACGCGAAAAAAGGCTTGCAGAAACCAAAGAATAAACGCAAGAAAGAACCAAAAATCCTGACCAAGGAAATAGTAGATGACGATGGCAGCTCTAATGATGAAGCAACAACACAAACCACTGCAAATACTTCTACCTCTGTGACACCACCTGTCAAAAAACCTCTTAAAGATGACCATGTAGCAGTTGATAAAAAAGAAAAGAAAGAGAAGAAAAAGAGGGAAAAGAAAGCGTCTGGTCCTATGCATTTCTCAACAAATGAAACCATTGCACTCAATGTTTTAGGTGACTTGGATCCATCCATATTTAATGAATGCAAGGAAAAAATGAGGCCTGTTAAAAAGGCGCTCAAAGCTCTGGACAATCCAGATCAATCACTTTCTGAGTTGGATCAAGTCCAGCATACCAGGGAGTGTCTTTTGCAGATCGGAGAACAGATAAATACCTGTCTCAAACAGTATACGGACCCTGAGAAGATCAAGGAATGGAGAAGGTAATATTTTTGAAGTTGTGAGGATGTAATGTTCTGATTTTGTTTTTTTTATTTGTTTATTTCAGCAATCTTTGGTACTTTGTCTCCAAGTTCACCGAGTTTGATGCCAAAAAGTTATACAAATTATATAAAAAGGCGTGTAAGAAGATGGTGAAGAGCGAGAAAAAGGATCGAGAAAGAGAGGTAAGACAAAATGCTTTGTTTACCTATTGGGTTTCCCAGAAACATCTATTTTTTTCAGGAAGGGGCATCCACTAGTAAAGAGAAGCACAAAGAGGGTAGAGAGGGCAAGGAACACAAGAGAAAACATGAAAGTGATGTGGAGAAAGAAGAGACTAAGAAGCATCATTCAGAAAAGTGAGTGTTTGTCATGCAGTGTCATACAGGGTTATCCAAACTGCTGTTGAAATGTACCACAACAAGCAATTTTGTGAATTCCGCACCTTCGGTTATGGTTTGTTTATTTTGAAGAAAAATCTCAAAATTTGATAAAACATTGAATACCATGTTTATATAAACTTTGTGTACATAATATGCTCCAAAATCGTACTAAAAGTTTTTCTTTATCTAATTATAAAAAAAAAAAAAATTGTTAAACATGAAGTTTTGTGTTTTTAACCAAACATATTTTTTGTTGCAATGCATTTTATTAAAAGCCTGACAAATTCATCATCTTTGTTGGGTTGAAATTAATGCTAAATAAAATGATTCTTTATTTGCAACACATGCTTACGAAATACTGAGTGTGTTACTAAAGGGAATATACAATATTCAAAAATGATATATTGCAGTTATTTCTTTAGTCACATTTCTATCAATCAATCAAACTTTTATTGAATACGTTTTCTTCTGCAATAAAAATTAGAAAAGAATCATAACATCATTGTAAAATACTAGCTAATTCAACAGGTCATACAATGAAAAATGATATTTATTAAGAAAGTTGAACAATACTCAATATTATTAACACTAACCATCAACTTGGAAAAAAAAGAAATTGAGATTGTGAATAAAACATCAAGGATATACTAGACAAGAATATTTACAAACAACATTAAACAATAAAATATAAGCTGAGATTCCTATGATGTTATTTCAACCGGCAATGCCCTGTTTGGACTCCAGTTGGTGAAGTTTATTTTCACTCAGGCTGACATATGTGTTCGTTCTCTTGTGGTTTTCATTTCAGTAGTAAAGAAGCATGTCTTGAGACCTTGAAGATTTTTCCGTGTTATCTCTGTTTAGCTTCTTTCTTCCGCTCACTGTTTACTTATATCAATTATCAGAGAGAAATATCTCAAAGTGGTCTCCACAAGTTAAGTGGCGATGTGTGTAGGCAAATGTGCTTTTTACTTTTGAGACATGTTTCGACCATTCAAATGGTCATCATCAGTCAAAGTACAGAAGAAAGGCAATCTACAAAAAAACATTTTTGTGTTCATACTTAACGTCTAGCAAAATGGTTACATAGCTGAGTGAGTTCGTTTGACAGTATGTTATATATTTTTGGTCCAATGTAAAATATACTTCGTTGAATGGTTACATAAGATGTAGTAGGAACAATTACATTTTCATTTGTTACTGATCTAGTTGTTATAACATGATTAACTTTCGGTACATTCATTTTTGATAGATATCTTACAACAAATTTTAAGTATAATTGAGAAATGTCAAGAACTCCTGCATCTTCAAAGAGTTTGTCAGTAGGAAATGTTTTATTTCTGAACATTATAATTTTTTAAATTTATTTTTGTGCTACATTCAAAGGAGTCATGGCATTAGCATAAGCTGAGCCCCAGGCTGAAATTCCATATGATAACGCAGACTCTATCAAAGCCCTATAAATATTGATAATGCTGTTCCTATCAAAAATTTTATCCATTTCATGTGTGGGTCGAAGTAAGTTCCTAAATACTTGACTCTATCATTAAATTTAATTTTTAAATTACATTGACAATTATTCATTTCTTCACAATTGGGTTTATGAAATATCAGCGATTCTTTTTCAGGGAGGTTCTTTCTTGTTAAAGCAAAATACATGAAGTTGGAAATATCAACATTTAGGGTTAAAAGGTTTTTATCAAGCCATTTTTTCACTAAACATAAGGCGGTCTCAGCTTTACTAAACACCAGATTCCAAGAATCATCCTCAAACAGCAAAGCAGTGCTGCCTGCATAGCAAATCACCTTGCGCTCAGATAAGACTCTGGTCAAGCTGTCTAAATATATTATAAAAAGTATTGGCCCCACCCAGCACAGTGCCCTGTGGCACACCACACTCCACCTAACAAGGATCACTGAGATATTCATGAATTTTAACTTGTTGATGCCTGTTGTTTAGATATGATTTGAAAAGGTCGTTTGGTATTCCTCTGATACCTATTTGCTCCAGTTTGTTCAGTAGAATGTGGTGTGACACAGTATCAAAGGCTTTGGCCAAGTCCAGAAAGATTGCAAGAAATTTTTTTTGTCATCGTTCAAATGTCCCATGAATGTCCCCTGATTAAAATGACCGTATCGTCACTACGTCAGAAAATATATCAATTATTTTCCTGCAGGAAGGAAAAACGCGAGAAGCACGAAAGGGAAAGGGACAAGGACAAGGAGAAAGACCGCGAGCGCAAGCGGCAGCGCGACGACGCTAGCGAGGACGACGAGCACCGGTACGGGCGGCACCGCAAGCCGGGCGGGTCGCAGTTCAGGCACGAGCAGCCGCCCCACGGGGAGCACGAGCGGTGGGGCGGCGGCCAGTCGCGCGACAGGTTTCCTGGGGAGCACAAGCGGCAGTTCGAGTACCAGCGGCAGGCCGGGTTCCATAAACGGGACTATCCGAGACAGGAGAAAAGGTAGGCTCGATGGGGATGATCTGTTTGAATTGGGAGAAGGAGAGAAATAGAGATAAAGAGAGTGAGTCAGAGAGAGTAAGATGGAGAGATAGAAAAAGTGAGATAGGGAGATAGATAAAAGAAAGTGAGATAGAGAGATAAAGATATTCAGATATAGAGTTGAAAAAAAAGAGAGATAAAGAAAGAAAGTTACAGAGATAGAGAAAGTGAGATAAAGAAAGAGATAGGGAGATAGAGACATGAAGAAAGTGAGATATAGAGATAGTGAGAGAGAGATAAAGAAAGTGAGATAGATAGATAGAGAAAGTGATATAGAGAGATAGAGATAGTGAGAGATGAAGAAAGAGAGATGAGTGGTAGATAAATTGAGATAGTGATAGATAAAGTGAGATGGGTGATAGATAAAGTGGGTTAGAGATGGATAGAGATTGAGTGATAGAGATAGAGAGATAAAGATAAATGGATAGATGGATCTTTTTTTTATAAAGTGAGATAGACAGATAAAGAAAGTGAGATAGAGATAAAAAATAGAGATAGATACATAGAGAGAGATAGAGATATAGAGAAAGATAGGTAGAGAGAGATAGAGATATAGAGAAAGATAGGTAGAGAGAGATAGAGATATAGAGAAAGATAGGTAGAGATAGATAGATTTTTTTCGTAAACGCTCTCGAAATTCAAACATGCCCGTTCCTGTAACTTTCGACGAAGCGAAAGTCACGTGACCTCGTCCAAAGAGACCATCATTTATCTTATTTAAAGCAAAACTTATCACTGATATCGAAATTGAAAATAAATTATCAATCAAGTTTTTCTCATATGATGCCAACTTTCTGAAATACAATCATAATACAATATAAAAATACAATGCTATGCTTATGCTATAACACTCAAGTTGTGATTCGTCATTAAAACACTCTGTGATATCAACGTGTCTTACATGCTATTCTCTCTTGTACAGTTTTTTGATGAAAAATTTGAAAAACTAAAAGTTGTGATAGGATAAAATTCAAATTTGAGGCACATCTGTGAAATCTGAAAATATTCTATTCAACTATTTGGAAATTGAAATAAGCATCTGTTTCTAGGATTGATTTGAAAAAAATTAACTTTCGACATGTAGCGGAAGTCACGTGACTCTGTCATGTCTCACATGCTCATAATAGACAAGAGCACTAATTTCTAGTAAAAATACTATGACGTTCATCTCGATGAGGCACAGAGAATTTTTTATTCCTTCCAGATTTCCCAAAAGATACTGACGTCACCAGTTCTATAACCCGCCTACCTTCAATTGATAGTCAGGAAAAAAATCGATAATTCAATATTCAGTGAGATTAGCAGCGTTATAGTCTCAACCGATTCTTTACTTGTTTAAGATATTTCAACATTCATCGCTCTCAAGATTTGATTTCAACAATGTCATGGATGCATTGAACAAGACAGTGTAAAACTAACTTTTTCTTGTTTTCTTATACACTGAATTGTGTTATATTATGACATGGAAATTAAAGTTCTGTCACCAGAATTTGAGGTTCATTTAAGAGTATATCAAAATCCTTCAGTTAGATTGTTGTATACAGGGTGTCCCGTAAAGACCTCAAACCTAGGGAGAATGTAGATCAAAGGATAAACCCACCTGCATATGACAAAATTCCCAATATAAAAATTCTTACCGTTTTCGAGTTTTTTTTGTTGAAAATATCCATTACCAAAGTTTTCAATAAAAATATTTCTCACAGCCCTCCTGCAAAGTGTTCGGAGAATGTTTTTGATGTATACGTTGAAATCATTCTTCAGCAATATTTACTGAAAAAATTAAACCAAGAGCTGTATAATTGTAACAACCTTACAGACTAAACTATTGAAAGGGGCAAAAATTCAATATTTCCAAAACAAAAAATATCTCGAAACCGGTAAGACTTTTTCAGTGGGAATTTTTTCATAGCAGGTGGGTTATCCTTTGATCTACATTCTCCCTAGGTTTGACGTGGTCTTTACGGGACACCCTGTCTGTATAAACGAATAATTGAGGATGAGATGGAATTGTGTCTCTACTTATCAAACCTACAATGTGGTACAACCTACTGGATTAGTAATCATGTCAGCTATGAATTTGAAGAATTGGCAATGAGGGGAAAACCTATTACATACTATATTGATGACATTTACTTTATCAATGCATATCAAATTATCCACCAACTCAGGGTCGATTCAAAATTGTTGAATATTTTCTTGATATTTCCTTGAAATAAAAAACAGCTGGCAACACAGGAAAAGGGATTATCACGACAGTACTGGCGCCGCCGAACGCTTTGTTTGAACGTTCAATGAAATTGTAGGGTATTCAAACGGTGTTTTTGAAGTATAAAACCATATTTATGTTACTACTTATTTCATTTATATGCACATTCAAATTGAATTCACACGCATTCGTGTTCTTGCCTATTGGGTATCGTGTTGTTTGAAATTTGGCGCCTCAATGAACAAACTCAATTCGATAGTCTAATTCAACTCCTTGTTATTTTAACTACAATTTTGTTCTGTGTTCTATGTCATTTTGAATCAAAACATTCCTTAGTTTTGACTTGACTGTTGTCATTCTAATGTTGTGTTTTGTCCTCAGCGGCATTATCATCAATTGTCATTTATCGATTGTCATTTGTGATTAGTTAACCTAATTCAACAAATTCAGGCCCACATGTTGAAAAGGAATATTCTCAGATAAATTATGAACATACAAAAAAGGATATAATATATTGATATAAAGCAATACATTGAGAATTCGCATTCTCTATGTGATGAGAATATTTACTCTTTTTCAGTTAATTCAATAGAAAACAACTACTTTCCTGGCTATATGCCACGACGAACATTGAATTATATCTATTGAACACACACGAAAAGAGTTTGAAAATAAAATATAAAAATTTCTGAAATTGAGAATTTGCATTCTCCTTCAGACAAAAATATGTATATACACACATCATTCTGAATATTCAACAGAAAACAACTACTTTCCTGGCTATTTGCCACGTCGAACATTGAATTATATCTGATGAACATTCAAAAGGGAACATGAAAAATAAAGAATAAAATCCTTCGAAATTGAGAATTGACATTCTTCTTCAAATCGGATGAATAATATGATGAATAATGATCTAGAAATATGACTTACCAATATATTCAGCATTGAAATGAAAATTGGAATGTATAGGAGAAGTATACTGGCATGAACTCTGATCTTGATGAGCTTGAAAACGTCCAAAAATAATCATTCATATCAGTGATATGGGAAATATTATCTCTCACACACAGGTTATATGACTTTATTGCAATGAACCCATTTCGGATCTCTGAATCCTCATCAGTAACCATGATGTCCACTTATTCTTACAGCCATTCTTCATGATATACACAATTTTCATCTCTATATAATACAACTAAAATCGAGTAAAACTATAACGAAATGACATCTGAGAAATTTGTTGACATTCTATTCCTGTCATTTGGACGTTTTTGCTTTTGGGTGTATGATAAATTGACATTCATCATACAGGGCGTGGAAATGAATTCTGAATTGAGACAATATCACGAATCTGCGATTAGAGGTCTATAAAAATCACAAGTTTCCATCGTTCAAGTTTGAACCCCCTGATTGGGTATGAAAGTGTTGAAAAGGAATATTCTCAGATAAATTATGAACATACAAAAAAGGATATAATATATTGATATAAAGCAATACATTGAGAATTTGCATTCTCTATGTGATGAGAATATTTACTCTTTTTCAGTTAATTCAATAGAAAACAACTACTTTCCTGGCTATATGCCACGACGAACATTGAATTATATCTATTGAACACACACGAAAAGAGTTTGAAAATAAAATATAAAAATTTCTGAAATTGAGAATTTGCATTCTCCTTCAGACAAAAATATGTATATACACATTAGTGATCGACCGATACCGATGCCGAGGGCCGACTATCGGTATCGGCCGATAGATGTGAGTATATATCAGCTATATCGGCCGATGCATAAATAAAGACAACCATAGCAGCTTAAAACATTTATATTTAAATTTAAAGTAATATTTGAAATAAGGTTATCTTAAGAAATTATGGTAGATATAACATGAAATAGGCATTTAATATGAATACTGTAGTTTTGGCAAATTATCATGTAAAAAAATAAGTGTCGGTTGTTTCTGGATTCAGCCGATTCCTTTTCGCCGAATTTACGGTTCATTCAAAGTGCGTTGAAGAATTATAAATTATATTACAGAATATTCAGATTTCAGAGATTTTAGACAATAATAATTAGTAATGAATGTTATCAATTAAAAAAGGCCGATATGCCGATATATACCGTTATCGGTCAAGACATTATCGGTATCGGCCGATTATCGGTATCGGCTAAAAAAAGTCATCGGTCGATCACTAGTAATAATGGTTCCCTAACAGTTAATCACCCGCACTATGCGCGGTTAAAAACAATATTAGTTTTTTCATATTTTTTTAATGAGTAATATTTTTCCACCAATAATGGTGGGTACATTTAGATTTCCTAATCAATACTTGAAACTAACATAAGCGTTGTTTCTTCTTACAAATTTTCTTTTGATACATTTGCTGATAATGAAGGGTTCCTTCGAAACATGTTCTTACTCATGTCCATGACCGTTGTCCGTTGGTCATTATTAAATTGTTTATGTGATGGAGTTGTGGCTGTAAGTTCTTTCACCCCTCCTAATGTAGAGTTAGTTGTCTGGCGACTGACTTTGAAATCCTATAATTCCTATATGCCGGTGATCTTCCAGATCTCTATAATGTCGGTGGTTTAAGCCCAATGAAATTGGATAATCAACAAACCATAACTGGTAATTCGAATAAATTATACCTTCATTTTGAGCCACTAGATAACGATAAAATGACAATATAATCCATACATTTTAACTAGACAGAATTCAAGAAGCATTTCTACGAGTGGTGACGTGGTGACTTGGCGGCATCATTTTCTTATTTTAATTTTTCTTGCAGATCCCCAGAGAAAGGTGATTGGCGCCAGTTTCCAAGGGGGAGAGAAGGTGGACCGCCAATGCCAGGTCAGCGTCAGATGTACTACAACTATCCTCAAGGACCCCAAGGAGGTATTCCTCCACTATTTCCACCAGATCAGCAGTTCAGTAGGGAAAGGTACCCGATGGGAGACTGGAGACCGCCCGAGTATAACAGGTTCGATCGCCGTCAACAATGAGTTTAAATTTCAATGAATTTTTGACTAAATTGTACATGTTGAAATGTACTTTTTTGTATTATAGTTACTGTAGTTTTTTGAGAAGTTATTGAGAATTTTATTTCGTAATTTATTTACTTGTGATTTTAATTTTCCTCTCAATAATTTTTCAGACTGGTTGCATTTTTCGATTACCAAGTGTTTTATAGTTTTGTTGTCGAATGTACATTTTTAATTGAGCCACGGTGGCTTTGTATGTCAAATTGATATATTAGGCAGGCCTACCCATAACTGTATATTGAAAATTTGGTGTACATACAGATAGATAAATATGTTTTTGATATATGTTCCAGTTGATTTCAATAAAATTCCTACCTCCTTTTTAATGTTCCTTGATCATTTCCCCTTCCAAACTTATTCATTTTGTAATCAAATACTAGGCAAGATTCTGCTACTCCTAGATGTCACATTGAATTTATGCATATTTTCAACTTCATAACACCTTGGTTTAGTCTTACCAGTTGAAGCAGAGATATATTTATACTTCTCTCTTTATCAGGAAATGGCACCAATTTTCAAATGGCTCAACATTACATTCTAAACAGCTTATTCATTTAATAAGAAATGATTATTGCAAATTGGTTCTAGAATTTGAAACTTCATATAAATATAAAAACTGGAAAGATTTGACTTAAATTAGGACACTTATGACAGTAGTTACCTACCTAACATTTTTCTACAACCTGAAAATAGTGCACGGGTGTATTTTTAAAGTTTATTCAGTCCACCCTGGGTTTTGAACAATGTTGATATTATTGGACTAAAACTTCAATCATTCCATGCACATCATTTGAACTGACATCTCATTTATCCTGATGCTGATAGTTTGAAGAAGTAAATTTAACAGTGCCAAGAATGAAAAACTTCCAAGCGCTATTTCTTCAGTTGCTTGTCGAAGTTATTATGAGAGGAAAGATGAAGACAATAGAATAAAATCGCTAAGTCTAAAAGAGATGCCAGATATAGAAAACTAGCCGAAAAAAAGCTAGTGAAGACTGTAGGTACCAAAACGTACAGAAAAAGAAAATGTTGCTCCAAGTATTTCTACAAAAAAATGTGGATGTGCTGGATGTGATAATGAACTGAACAGTGATACTGAAAATGCAGAGAACAAAAATATTGGATGCGATAATTGCCCAAGATGGTACCATCTGCGTTGCACAGAATTCATGGATTTTCCTTATGTTGTGGTTGCATATGTGTATCTAATATATACAATTCTCCGGTCACGGTGTTAGTGGTCGAACTCCTCCGAAACGGCTCGACCGATTAGTATGAAATTTTTTGTACGTATTCGGTAGGTATGAGAATCGGTCGTTATCTACTTTTTAAATCGAAAATTCAAAATGGCGGATTCTATATGGCGGACGAGTATTGTCACCCGATTTCATTCAAAATTGATTTATGGGGGTTTTCGGGGTCCGAGATTATGATTCTTTCGTAAAATTTTGGAAATTCAAGATGGCGGACGAGTTTTGTAATTATGGTCAGATTCCATTCAAAATTGGTATCTGGGGGTTTTCGAGGTCGGAGATTATGATTTCTTCATCAAAATTAGGAAATTCAGTATGGCGGACGAGTTCTGTAATTATGGTCAGATTCCATTCAAAATTGGTATCTGGGGGTTTTCGAGGTCAGAGATTATGATTTTTCAAAATTAGGAAATTCGAAACGGCGGATCCAATATGGCGAACGAGTTTTGTAATTATGATCCAATTATATTCAAAATTGGTATGAGGGTTTTCGGGGTCGGAGATTATAATTCGTTCGTCAAAATTTGAAAATTCAAAATGGCGGATCCAATATGGCGAACGAGTTTTGTATTTATATATGGTCAGATTCTATTCAATATTGGTATCTGGAGGTATTAGAGGTCGGAGATATGAATCATTTGTCAAAATGGGGAAATTCAAAATGGCGGATCCAATATGGCAGACGAGTTTCGTAATTATGGTCAGTCAATTCAAAATTGGTATCGGGTGGTTTTCGAGGTCGGAGATAATGATTCTTTTGTAAAAACTTGAAAATTCAAGATGGCGGATCCAATATGGCGGCCGGGTTTTGTAACTATATATGATCCGATTTCATTCAAAATTTGTATCTAGATGATTTTCGGGTCGGAGATTATGATTCTTTCATCAAAATTAGGAAATTAAAGATGGAGGATCCAATATGGTGGACGAGTTTTGTATTTATGATCCGATTCTATTCAAAATCTGTATCTGCTGGGGGTTTTCGGGGTCAGAGGTTATGATTTTATTCATTAAAATTGGGAAATTCAAGATGGCGGATCCAATATGGTGAGAGAGCTTTGTAATAAATAGTAGTTTGAAAAACTATAATGAAACACGCTTTCAATCGTCTCTTCATCAGCAGCGCTATCCCCCAGTCCTCATCCATCAGAATGAAATCAGTTACTCGTATTATTTGTATAAAAAATTATGTAGTTTGTATCGGCGAGATGTCAACAAACCGCAAGAATAGTTGGAAAAAGGATTATGGTGAATTTAGCCCCTTTTTGTTGAGTAACGTTATATTCATGCATTATTTGTCACAAAAAAAAATCTAAATAGCAAATTATTGAAAATTTTTCTGAATGACAAAGCTCACAAAATTGGTCACACCGACGTGATTTTTAGACGTCATAGATACGTCACTGCAACGTCATAAAAGTGACGGTTTCAATATTCGTTTGTATATATACATAAACAGTCTGTCCAAGATAAGGTTGAACGGATCTCGAAAACGGTAGGAGATACGAAGTCGGTTAAATGGGGAAAAATCTGCGCATTCGGAGGCTCATATCAATAGCCTTCGAAAATTTTCAAAATTATTTTTAGTTATATCGAAAAAAGTGAATTTTTGGAATATCTGTTTTATTTTTTTTCTCCGTTATTATTAGAGATACAGAAAAACTGAATATATATATATATATATATAATGTATTGGGGAATGCAGCAAGTAAAAGCGAAACTCTTTAAAGTTTATCCAAGCTTTCGGAAATGTTTATTTCCTTCTTCAGGGATGCTACAATGATATATCATATTAATGTGCACAAAAATAGATAATATAAATATACATACATCTTTGTTGAGATTAATTACATGGATGTTATAAGATGATAGACATATCATTACACATGGTGCCATCAGTAGGAATAAAAATCTCCACAATAGTCAAGGCAATAAAAAAGGCAAAATACTGACATTTAGAAATTTGTAAAAAGACCAGACGAAATAATTAACATTTTAAAAAATTATTATTCACATCCATGCTGGAAAACCACGGATGGAAAGTCAGGTTATGGTTAACGCGGTTAGGACCAACATAACCTAATCTTCTCTGTCAATTCCAAAACAAAATCACTCAGTGCTGTGTGCACTGGATGTACGTTTAGGTTGGAACAGACAAATTCTGGTATTGAAAAAAGAAGAAGAAGTCTTGACTGTCATCTGAAAAATCTGAACATTTGAAAATGGAGAAAACAGATAATATTCATGTCGAAGTTTTAATATCCATTGCAAGTAAGTGTGAATAAATTATGCTTAGATGATTTATGTCAGTTCTTTTATTTATGCAGTTGTTTTCCTGGGAGATGAAAGCCATTTCAAGAAAGGTTCGTTTTTTGGAATTTTGTTCAGTTGCCAGAATTTTTGCTGACTGGAAATCCATTTGATGGTCATATTGATTAACATGTTCAGCCAGTGCACAACGTTCAGGATGCAACCTACAGTCACTTTTGTGAGATGTGATTCTATTCGCTAGAGACCTTTTGGACTGTCCGATATATTGCAAGTTACAATCTCTACAAGGAATGCTGTAAACTACATTCGAACGTGATGTTAGTGGGACTTTATCTTTGACTTTTGAAAACAACGATTTGAGTGGCAAAACTGTTCTATTAGCGATTTTGATGTTAGGATGATCCTCAAAAATCTTAGAAAGTTTTGGAGTGACTTCACTGATGTAAGGTAGTGATGCATAAATACAAGGTACTGGAATTGCATTAGTAATATTGTTACTATTGTCTGTAATCCTGTTATTCAGCTCAGCAGGATCTATTGTGGATGTACTGAATAAAATTTTATTAATTAGGTTTTGTGGGTATGAGTTATTCAAAAAAAGATTTTTCAAAATATTTAAATTAAAATAGACAATAGTAACAATATTACTAATGCAATTCCAGTACCTTGTATTTATGCATCACTACCTTACATCAGTGAAGTCACTCCAAAACTTTCTAAGATTTTTGAGGATCATCCTAACATCAAAATCGCTAATAGAACAGTTTTGCCACTCAAATCGTTGTTTTCAAAAGTCAAAGATAAAGTCCCACTAACATCACGTTCGAATGTAGTTTACAGCATTCCTTGTAGAGATTGTAACTTGCAATATATCGGACAGTCCAAAAGGTCTCTAGCGAATAGAATCACATCTCACAAAAGTGACTGTAGGTTGCATCCTGAACGTTGTGCACTGGCTGAACATGTTAATCAATATGACCATCAAATGGATTTCCAGTCAGCAAAAATTCTGGCAACTGAACAAAATTCCAAAAAACGAACCTTTCTTGAAATGGCTTTCATCTCCCAGGAAAACAACTGCATAAATAAAAGAACTGACATAAATCATCTAAGCATAATTTATTCACACTTACTTGCAATGGATATTAAAACTTCGACATGAATATTATCTGTTTTCTCCATTTTCAAATGTTCAGATTTTTCAGATGACAGTCAAGACTTCTTCTTCTTTTTTCAATACCAGAATTTGTCTGTTCCAACCTAAACGTACATCCAGTGCACACAGCACTGAGTGATTTTGTTTTGGAATTGACAGAGAAGATTAGGTTATGTTGGTCCTAACCGCGTTAACCATAACCTGACTTTCCATCCGTGGTTTTCCAGCATGGATGTGAATAATAATTTTTTAAAATGTTAATTATTTCGTCTGGTCTTTTTACAAATTTCTAAATGTCAGTATTTTGCCTTTTTTATTGCCTTGACTATTGTGGAGATTTTTATTCCTACTGATGGCACCATGTGTAATGATATGTCTATCATCTTATAACATCCATGTAATTAATCTCAACAAAGATGTATGTATATTTATATTATCTATTTTTGTGCACATTAATATGATATATCATTGTAGCATCCCTGAAGAAGGAAATAAACATTTCCGAAAGCTTGGATAAACTTTAAAGAGTTTCGCTTTTACTTGCTGCATTCCCCAATACATTAGTTTTCTTCCTACTGGTCAGCAACGACTTCCCTTCTATATATATATATATATATATATACCTGGTGTCCCAGTATACCTGTTC